CAAAATTCTTGTATTGGATTATTTTATAAATTATTTATTGAAAGGAAGAATGAAACAGTTGAATAAAAAGAATTGCCTAAAGCGAAAAGAACAAGAAACAAAAATGAAGTCTTCATAGCGAGAATCATCTCGAAATTTATCGATTACGAAAATTGACAGAGTTAAAAATTTATCATATTAAACAACTATTTTGTAGAAATATCCGATTATTACAAATTATCTTACTTGATGCTATATCATTTATACAGGATGTCCCAGAAAAAGTGTTAGAGCCGAAGAGATGTGATTCTGTAAGTGTTTCTCAACAACAATTTCGTTTCTCAAAATGCAAAGTGAGGCATGGTTTTTAAATTATTAATGAAAAACATTGACCAATAAGAGCGCCTGTAGGGTCCGCGCTAAGCCACGGCCGAACGTCACGATCCGAGTCAACCTATCCGTGGCTGGGCGCGGGCAAAGAATCTATTCGAAGATTTTTTCACAAATTACATTTGTGATAGCCACTATGTCTCAATTTCTATTCACTGGCTTTTTTCTGTAACTTTACATGTAATCTTAAGCCAGTATGTAGAAACTGCCACGTGAACAGAAATTAGGACAATTACTATATACGAAAGAATGATAGAGACAAAAATTCTTCAGTAATATTAAAATGTAATATTTGAAGTCGTCACGTCACTACAATCACCCTGTACAGTTATTGTAAGGAAAAGTTATGCATCGAATATTTAATTTGCACAAACGTTGATATACTTTTTATAAAACCCAATCGGATGTTTCGTTCGTACGCTTGAAAATGTGTATAAACCAAATAAATCAACGAATGAAACGATAAGAAGTTTTATCATCCAAAACGAACACGTACAATTATTCAAATAAAAAGACTCGACATTTTCTATTACATACAAATACACACAGTATATTCGTGGATTACTCTTGCCAATTTTTAATTATCAATACGTACATATAAATTATCGAATCTCGTGGTGAACATAAACTTAATTGTTTAGAGTTTAGATAAATTTACGGTGATCATATTTTTGGGAGCGAAATCGGGGACAACAAGGAAGGTGAGAATTATAGCAACAGACAAACAGGAAAAAATAACAAAATTCTTGTATTGGATTATTTTATAAATCATTTATTGAAAGGAAGAATGAAACAGTTGAATAAAAAGAATTGCCTAAAGCGAAAAGAACAAGAAACAAAAATGAAGTCTTCATAGCGAGAATCATCTCGAAATTTATCGATTACGAAAATTGACAGAGTTAAAAATTTATCATATTAAACAACTATTTTGTAGAAATATCCGATTATTACAAATTATCTTACTTGATGCTATATCATTTATACAGGATGTCCCAGAAAAAGTGTTAGAGCCGAAGAGATGTGATTCTGTAAGTGTTTCTCAACAACAATTTCGTTTCTCAAAATGCAAAGTGAGGCATGGTTTTTAAATTATTAATGAAAAACATTGACCAATAAGAGCGCCTGTAGGGTCCGCGCTAAGCCACGGCCGAACGTCACGATCCGAGTCAACCTATCCGTGGCTGGGCGCGGGCGCTACGCGTGCTCTCATTGGTC